CAGAAGGCATAAAAGAAGATAATCTATATGTATTGCAGGGACAAAAGGTTCAATATTCCCATATATTTAAGAATGTTGCAGAGCATGATTCATGTGTTCATCTTCTACATAGAAGACTTGGCCATGCAAGCTTTAAGGTTTTGCAGCAAATGCAAGATTTTGCAGAAGGGCTAAATTTGAAGGGATGCAAACATATTTGGACTATGCAGTATGCAAAGCATCGAAGTCAAAGGCATTCCTAGTTAGTAAATGTAACACAAGACAAACAGAAAGAGTTCTAGAGTTGGTCCATGCAGATCTGGTGGGACCTATGCAAGCCAGTTTGGGAGGAGCAAAATATGCACTGGTAATTGTTGATGATTATAGCAGGTATAATTTTTGCTACTTGCTTAGAGCAAAGACAGAGGTGTTACAACAATTCAAAGAGTAGGTAAGCTTCGTAGAGAAAAGGTACAGACAACAAGTGTGTCAGTTGCAAACTGCCAGAGATACTGAATTTATGTAAACTAAATTCCAACAATGGTTGGGGCAGTTGGGGATAAGTCACAGACGTGCAAATCCTTACACAGCAGCAGAGAACGGTGTAGCTGAAAGAAGGAATGGTGTTTTGCAAACAATGAAAGATTCATTATTACAGGATTCTGGTATGAGCAGGCCATATTGGGGAGAAGCCATATTGACTGTCAATTATATAGTTAACAGGCTGTGGAGTTCCTCCATTAATAATACTCCATATGCCATTCTATATGGGAGAAAGCCATCACTGGCACATTTGAGAATTTTTGGAAGTACTGCATGGGTACATATTCCGAAAGCAATTAGAAGAAAGGGACAGCAAAAGGCAAGAAAGCTCAGATTTGTGGGCTATGAGCCAGGGTCAAAAGGATATCGCTTTAGCGATGGAAGTAAAAAATTGTAATTTCAAGGTCTGCTAATTTGGCAGAACAAAATTGGGATAGAATTAATGCAAATTCTGGGTATGTCTCACTTAATGATGGTGATCTATTTAATGACAATAACTCATCTAATGATGGAAAAATGATTGAAGATGTCAATGTTCAGGGAGGAGAAGCTGAACAAGACATGAAGCCAGATAGACTTGAGACACAGGAGCAGTTAATACCACGTAGATCAGAGCGATGTAACAAAGGAATTCCGCCTGACAGGTATTCTGCCAGCAAGGTAAAGGTTTGCAATGTGTGGTATGACCCAAGAAGTTATAAAGAGGTATTGGCATTACCAAAAGCTGAACAAGAAAGATGGAAGGAGGCCATGGATAAAGAGATGAAATCCATGGGAGACCATAAAGTATTTAAATCAGTGACTTTGCCATAGGGAACCAAAGCTGTGGGTTGTAAGTGGGTATATAAGAAAAAGGTATTGCCAAATAATGATATACAGTATAAGGCCAGGTTAGTGGCACAAGATTTTTCACAATTAAAGAATATGCACTACGATGAAGTATTTGCGTCAATTGTGAAAAGTGAGAGTATAAGATTAGCACTGGCGTTGGCAGCGGCATATAAGCATAAAATCTGGCACTTTGATATCACAACTGCATTCTTCAATGCTGAGTTAGAGGAAGAAATTTATATGATCCAAGCACCAGGATATGAAATTGCAAAACCTAACATGGTATATAAATTAAACAAGGCTATTTATGTGCTGAAGCAGTCAGCCAGAAACTGGAATATCTGTTTAGATACTGCTTTAAAGATCTTGGATTTAAAAGTTGCAAAGCTGATAATTGCATATATACTGGACAGTTACAAGGAGGGAATTGTCTACTGTTATCATTTGTGGATGATCTTTGCTTCATCGCAAAGGATGCATCACAAGTCAAGGAATTTGCTGATAAATTAGGAAAGAAATTTGAATTAAAGAATTTGGGAGAAATAAAAAATTATCTCGGTGTAGAGATACAGAAAAATGAAAAAGGTGGTTATATTCTCAGTCAAAGGAGAAAAATTGAGCAGTTATTGGAGAAATATAATATGAAAGATTGCAATACTGCTCCCACACCCGTGAGTGCGGATTTTTATAATAGTTTAAGTGCGGACAAAGGTGAAACCTGTGATCAAGAGATATATCACTCGGCAATAGGGAGTTTGTTATATCTATCACAGTGGTCCAGACCAGACATAGCTTGCGCAGTAAGCATTTTGAGTCGTTTTACTGCTGCACCTACAAAGTTACATTGGATGGGTGTAAAAAGGGTTCTCAGATATTTAAAGGGAACTATAAATTTGGGTCTTCAAATATAGATTACTGACGAATTGAAATTAAAGTGTTATGTCGATAGGACTATGCAAATGACATAAATACAAGAAAATCAAATTCTGGGATTATAATATTGTTTGGAGGGACTCTGATTGGATGGAAGTCCAGAAAACAAACAACTGTTGCTATTTCAACAGCGGAAGCAGAGTTTATTGCTTTATCTGAATTGTGTTCTGAAGTAACATGGTATGTACAGTTGTTGCAAGATTTAAATATTAATGTAAAAGAATCTGTAAAGGTATTTGAAGACAATGCTGCCTGTATAAAAATGGCAACTGGTGACAGGGTGAAGAACAGAAGTAAATGTGTAGACATTAAATATTGTAATGTCAGGGAAGCTGTAAAAGGAAAATTGATTAGTTTACATCATTGTTCTTCTGAGGATAATTTGGCAGACATGGTGACTAAACCATTGGGTATTGTTCACTATGGAGAATGTATTAAGTTAATAGGTCTGATGTCTCCTCCTGTCATGAAGGGAGGAATATTCATGAGCAGGAAGAGGCATGTGGTAACTCAGTCAGCCAATGTGAAGAAAGTGCTACTGAGTCTGTGCAAAAAGGGTATTGAGTTAGGAGCTGGATTTCCAGTCTCAGGTTTGTCTCTGTATCTCTCTGTAAGAAGTCTTCAATTGAGCTATGATGCTGTAAGAAGAATGTATTGTATTGTAAATATTTTGATATAAATATAAAGAAGTTATTTCGAATCAGCTAAATGCAGTCAACTGTGAGAGCTTCTGATTTATTTTTCACCAACAGAGAAATTAAAATTCTCTAACAAACTGTCAGCCCACAAGGATTACATGCTGTGGGAAAGCAGAGTAATTGTCCTGCCCAAATTGCAAGCCAGAGTGTTAGAATCCCTGCATGAGGGACATCCAGGTATCGTAAGAATGAAAGCACTTGCAAGAAGTTACTTGTGGTGGCCTGGCCTGGACAAGGACATTGAGGCTCAAGTAAGAAGCTGTCAGGTCTGCCAAGAGACCCATCCAGAAATACCCCAGGCACTTGTGCACCACTGGGAGACCATGCAAGCCCCATGGTCTCATGTGCACATTGACTTTGCAGGTCCATTTCAGGGGCAGGTATTCCTCATTGTTGTGGACAGTTATTCAAAATGGTTAGAGGTAGTGCCTATCCAATCTATGACTACTGCTAGGGTCATCCAGGAACTGTGCCGGCTATTTGCCACACATGGACTACCAGACGTTACTGTGTCTGACAACGGGGCACAATTCACAGCAGCAGAATTCCAGTCGTTCCTTAATGCTAATATGATTCGACACACTACTTTGGCTTCATTCCATCCAGCTTCTAATGGCCAGGCCGAACGGATGGTAAGGTCCACGAAAGACTTCCTTAAAAGACTGACTAAGGGAGACTGGAATCATCACCTGGCAAACTTTCTTCTATGCCAGCACACGACTCCAAGCACCACAATGGGACGCAGCCCAGCTGAGCTAAAGTGGGAATGGCAGCTCACGACGAAGCTAAACTGCCTCCATCCTGACAGGATAGCTGCTGAAACAGCGCAACCCAAGCCTCCCCGGAATTTACAGTTGGGTGAGCATGTTTGGGCTAGGAACTATGGGCAGGGGGCACCTTGGGTGGCTGCTACAATTACAAAAGTGTCAGGGCCACTATCATATGAGGTGGCTCTGGACGATGGTCCTGTGATCTGATGCCACATAGACCAGTTGAGGTGTCGGCAGACAAAGCAGAGCTCAGACGCAAATGTAGAAGAGACTGTGGACACTCATGGCAAAGCTATTATCCCAGTATCACCCACACTTGCTGAGACTGTGCTTACCGAGACAGAGGCACCTAGGGTTTTTGCACCGCCTCTGCTGTCTAATGACTCGGACGCACATAGCGGCACAGGTCTACCACCTTTGCTTCCCAATGACTCTAACGACTATAGCGGCACAGGTCTACCCAGTATGGACAACCGGCAAGTCGAGATGGAACCCCAAATAGCTTTGTGGCATTCCGGTAGAACTCGCAACCCACTGGTCTACCTCAAAGACTATGTACATCAAGTATACAAGAAGTCATTTTATCCAGGGGGAAGGGGTGTTATGTATTGATATTAAGAGTTGATGTGTTTTGGTTTAAACCTGTCTCAAACCGTTTTGGAGGGAAAGTTAAGTTTAAGTTTGAGTGGGAAAACACCATTTGATTTGATTAGAGGCAGCAAGTATAAATAGCTGTCATTCGGCCAGTTAAGCCAGTTCTGTTTTCTGTTGCAATAAATAACATTGGATTAAACCGGTCTGGTCAATGTCTCCAAAAACCCACTATGCAACAACTTATATTAGGCCTCCCCCTGAAAATCAAGCTAGGCTTATTTTCAGGATAGGTCTTACTTTTGGGAAAACATGGTAAGAATGAAAGCTTTGAGTAAGCTGCTAAGACCAGCTTTGTTGAAATAGCTATACCAGTCATGGTCAGCGACTCAGAAGAAAATACTGTAGTAATAAAAGTTGTATTTAATGTTTATCTGTCATGCACTTAGCATATGAATCCTCATGAAAGGAAGAGTGAAAGAGCACCAAGTAGACCATGTCTTTGCACTAGAAATATGGCAAAAGCATGCTTCACTGCTTCTGATTCTGCTCTTTTAAAATTGATATTGTGTGATAATGATGGTGACTCCAAGATGATCACTTATTTCCTATTGAAGAGTAGGAGCACAGCAGTCATTGATTCAGCAAATGATACCTTGGCAGCTGTGCGGCTCACTTCCACAGCGACATCGCCTCCGGTGTTCCCAGCACCAAGTATCAGAACTTTTTTACCCTCCAACCCTTTTGGATCTCTGTATTCCCAGCTATGCATGTAATGACCTTTAAAGTTTTCCAATCCTGTAAAATGACAGAGAAGACAATGTCACACTTCATGAGACATTTTTCCTTGACAATAAAACAGTTTTTTTCATTATTACAGCTACTCAATACAGTGCCAAAGGTTATTAAACTTTACTGTGTTTATCAGAGGCTATCTGCCAAGAGAGTTAAGGGAAATACTGTACCATAACAAGAGGTGGCTCCATGGTCCCATTTTTTAATTGAAAGGGAATTACATAGTATGCAAGATGGCTGCCCAGAAGCTTGGATTTAATCCCCTTAAAGGGGCTTCAAAGCATCTGTGAGTGCAACCTCTTTGCAGCACCTTAAAATGTCCTTTCCTATATTGACTCCCTTGATATTCTACGTAGGAGTTTTTTTTAAAAAGCACTTGGTTGGGTCTACTGGCAATATTATGCTGGACTAAATAGTCCTAGTTCACTGAAGTTCTGACATTATCAGATTTATTCAACTGTAAATGGGATTGATTTCCTTCTGATTTTTTCCATATAAGAGGACAACTTGTGAGGCAGATAACTTGTTTTGTTTTAATTCTTCTGCTTCAGGCAATGATTGTAATGATCCATTTTTCATCTATGAAAAAATTGAAATGCAAAAAGGATATGACAGGAATTGTGTAATTTTGAAAACATAAATCGCTACCATGGGTGGAAATTGGCTAGACTAAGAAAATAGGTGGCATAAGGTGACTTTAGGTCTTTATCCCTACTGTAATTGCCATTGTAACTGCATCTCTGCTTTCTAGGTCTGCTGTTCTTCATGGGAGAAAAATCATCTTTTGGAATCAGTGTCATCCTTTCCATTGAAAATAAGCCAGCATATGGGGAGGGCAGCAATTCTCATATGGCAAGAACATGTGATAAAGTTGCTTTTTGCCCAGACCCCATAACACTGAATTATTCCCTACTGGCTATGTATTGTTCAAATTATACATGCCAAAACTAGAAAGGTGATTTTAGTATGGTCCAGGATAGCCCCAAGAGTGAATGCCACTATGAAATATCTTAGAGTGGTTGGGTGTGTTTCTTCTGCTAATCCCCTATGGAGGACAATGGGAAAACTACAGATGGTCCTCGACTTACAAACACAATGTTATTAAGTGAGAACTTTTAAGTGAGTTTTGCTCCATTTTATTATCTTTCTTACCACAGCGGTTAAGTGAATCACTGCATTTGATAAATTAATAATCTGGTCATTAAGTGAATCTGATTTCCACATTCACTTTGCTTGTCAGAAGGTCACAAAAGGTGATTACATGACCTTAGGATACAACAACAGTCATAAATATGAACCAGTTGCCAAGCACCAGAATTTTGATCGTGTGATTAAAGGGATGCTGCAAAGATCATAACTGTGACAAATGATCATAAGTCACTTTTTTCAGTGCTGTTTTAACTTTGAACGGTCACTAAATGAACTGTTATAAGTCGTATTATTATAAGTTGGTGTATAGCTGGCCACTGAAGTCTCTTGGCAGTTTATCATCTTGATGTTAGATAACAATTAGAAGCCAAAAAACAAGTTAAGCAAATAAAATGAATAATTAACAATAAAGCAACAGTTCTAAACCAAAATGTGTTTTAAGGACTTTTTTTAAAGTTAACGGAAACATCAGTACCTTGAACTCTGCAGGAAAACTATTCCAAAAAATTGAAGTGTCAGCCAAGAAGGCTTGACACTGAGTCAATGGCAGATGAAGCCTCTGTAAGTAAACCTCATCACTGCTCTCCAGTGATGAAGTTGCTATGGAAAGAAACTGTCAGGACCCACTTAAATACCTCATCCCAAGAAAGCAGAACTCATGGAAGCAAGCTCTTCCAAAAGGAACTTTTATTAGGAGAAGCTGATAGCAGGCATACTAGACAGGATCTGAGGTTTTTCCCCTCAGATCAATAATTTAAAGTGTCCCAAGCAAACCCCATGCCATAGTTCATCCAGACAGTTCAAACCAGCCAATCCCCAGGTGTTAAGTCCATCATGGGAAAGGGGAGATAACATCAGGCCGGCTCTGGCTTAACTACGATGGTTAGGCGATTCTTTGTACCTTCTCTTGAGAGCGCAGAGATAAGCCGGTTGCCGGAGGCTGCATTCCTTTCTATCTCCACCCTTTTCTAATTGACAGTTTAAGGAGAGGAAATTACAGGGAGAAATAGTGCAGGAAAGCAAAGTGTTACATTGTAGCAATAGAGAAAGCTAAGAAATAATGCAGGAGAGTAAAGTGTTACATTGTAGTGATAGAGGAAGTTAAGGCAATAAACCTGCGATCATTCCCCCCTCCCCTCTAGGAATATGGCAGAACCCAGGGAAAGAAGAGAATGGAATTTGGGTCAGAGAAAGAAGCAAGGGAAGTATGAAATCAAACAGATATGGGTTTTGACAGAAATATTCTCTCAAGCAACCTGGACCAAAGTTTTTTAGTACTTACAACGAGCATTTTGCCCGGAAATTAACAAGCAGCCAGTGCAATAATTTGAGCACCCATGTGCATTTTGCCCCAAACCAGTTTGGCTCTTGATTTTTGTATAAACTGAAGTTTCTAAATTAGACACAAAGGTAGATCCACATACAGCATGTCATCTTGGTTAAGCCTAGAGGTCAGCAGGATGTGTCCTGTACTATTTTAAGGTCATTTTTGTTTTCCCCACCAAGAATGCACTTGGCTTTTTCACCCATGATCAAATCATGGATTATTTATTTTATTTTGAATCAATCTGCCATTACAAAACAGCAAGACAATTTTTTTTAAATAGCTGGAACCACAACCACATTAGCTTATTTGTATTTAGCAAATTTGTTCAAAACTCACCAAGAAAAGAATCTAAGGGTAGATTAACTTCTGTAAAAAGACCACTGCAAATCATAACTGCATCAAAGATAGTTGCTGTCTGGGTTCCATTAGTCTCTGTGTAGACTATCCATTGTCCAGTAGTTGTGAAATCTGGATGTTTTCTGATGCTGTATACCGTTGTCTTGTACAATCCCCAAACAAAACAAAATAATTTGACCTTATTATAAAGTAATGACATTCTCAATTTTGCTGTTATTTTGTGTTCTATTGAGAGTTGTGAGGATTAGTAGATAAGAGGGAAGAGATTCTCAAAAAGCATAAAAGTTAACAAGAGTAGCAAGCACTCAGGAGAAATTCTTGCTTCAGTAATAAATCTCTCACTGCTATCTGTATCTAGTAGGGACTGTGTGTCTCTTTTCTAGCTAAGCCAATCTGAAGTGTAAACTCCAGGTTTTTACAAGATGTGGTATAACCCACTCAAGAGTGTTGTACACATGATCAGAAACACTATATTTTTGGGTATAACAATGGAATAAAATTCTAATAAATAAATAAATGCTTTATAGGGGTAGGAGGCAGACTGCAAGGATGCCCTGCTTATGAGCTTCCCAGAGACAGCTGCCTAGATGCTAGAGCAGGTCCCTTCCAGCCCTATGATACAGTGGTTCTATGGAATCTCTCTAATATAATTGAATTCTAATATTTATAACATATCACAGTGGTTGGAATGTCATTTAACATTTACAGTCCTTTTTATTCTGACTGTTGCAGAAATATCTATTTCCCGCTCACCTTAAACTGAATGCAGTCCAGAAGGTGGAAATATTTAGCGTAATCCTTGAGGTACTCCAGGACTAAGGAGTGATGCACATAGTTAGGACAGCTTTCTGGAAATGGGAAGTCACTGAAGCAGGTCATTTCTTTGGATGTGTTGCTCACCACAGATCTGTAAACATTGGTCCTTCCCTTTTCAGGAATGTCCTGTACAATGGTAGTATATATGAAGTATAGTAAAATGTTAATAAGCCTTTAAAATCATTTTTGAAAGTGTTTTGCAATGCAACCTACTATTTAAATGTTATCTGGTTTTAGCCATGGGATAAATCTGGTTTTATTTAATTCTGCTGACCACTGATATCTAGCTACCTTTATTTTAATGACCTTAGCTGTCCAAAGTCCCTTTGGACAGCAAAATGAGTGGCATATAAATGTAATTAGTAAATAATGAAGAAATAAATAAAATGACCTTGGATTTTCATGTTATTTTACAATCATATTTTAATTAGATACGTGTTTGTGTATTCATTTTTTTCATTTTAACATTCCAAAGGACACTTTTTGGTGCAGGGAGGCTTGAGAGTACAATAAAGGTTTCTGTGACATACGGATATCCATAGATATCATGCTTGCTATCTGTGAAAATGAGGTAGTTTGGGGATCTGTATTGGAGTCTATATAATTAATTAATCCTGGGAATATCTAGCTTCTTCTGGAAGCAGAGAATGCCTGGTTACAGAATGCCTTGTTTCTTTGTGCTTCATCAAGCAGGAAAGTTTACAAAGGAGTTTTAACGTATGTAAGCTATGCTAGTAAAATATGATGGTAGGAAATTTTAATATCTCCTATTTACGCACCATCATCTGAGAGTATATATCATACATGTACAGTTTCATGTGTGTGGCACTCAATCTATCAAACAGCTACAGTATGTGGTGAGATCAATGTGCATACAACCACTTAAATGCATATATCTTGAACTTCATTATAAAAACATAGAAGACTGACAGCAAAAAAAGACTTAGCGGTCCATTTAATCTGCCTTTTGGGTGTTTTTTAAAATCAATTTATTATTATTTTAATTATTTTTTAAATCTTGTTTTATTTTTTATATGCCCAACCCACAGATGAACAGGTCTTAGCATATGAAGGTGCTAAAGTCCATAGGAATTATAATATGTAGAGCATTTTTTCTCATTGTTTGATAAAATTAGTCTCATTTCTTCTGGTGAGCTAAGCTTAGTGTAAGGACCCACCCCACTTTGCATCTTAAGAAGACAGAACTCTTGGAATAATTCTTCCAACAGGCATCCTTTATTAAGAGAAAATGGTTTCAGGCATTCTAGACAGGACTTGGGGTTCAAGCTCTCCCATTCAAGGTTTTAAGGGGTTCCCCAGTAGCCCCACCCAATCACCCCCTTCTTCCAACGACAATTGACAACTAGAGATGAAATATAATTGGATTCTGACATCCTGCCCCTTAAAAAAAAAAGACAGATCCATCTGAAAGAAAACAAAACAGGTATAAAAGTTAGTCAGGCTTGTTAGGATACTCTGTGTGAAACTTCTTTAATAGCTTCAGGGCTCGGACATGATGTTTATGGACCCACTCATTTTGTGAGGCAGGGAGGTGTTTCCAGGCAACTAGGTACTGAGTCACTCCATGATATCTCCTAGAGTCAAGGATTTCCTTTATTTTGAAATATTGTTCACCCTCCACCATGATTGGAGGTGGTGGTGGGGGGATTTTTGGCCGTAGAGGTGACTGACGGTCTCTTTTCAGCAAGCTGCAATGAAAAATTGGGTGTATTTGCCTGAGATTTTTGGGTAATTCTAATTCTATTGTTACTGGGTTTATGATTCTTTTAATTGGAAAAGGCCCTATATATTTTCCTCCAAGTTTTTTACAGGGTTGCAGGGACTTTAGGTATTTTGTAGATAAGTACACCATTTCTCCTATAATGAATGGTGTAGGCTCAACCCTTTTTTTATCGGCTTGTGCTTTGTATGCCTGCCTAGCTTCATCTAGTGCTTTTCTAACTATTGGCCAGGCGTTTTGTAATTGTTCCATCCATTCTTTCAGTGATGGGATCACCGGTTCCTGTGGGGTTAATTCTGGCATGGGGTTGAAACTTTGACCGGTGGCTATTTGAAAAGGAGTGTAACCTGTGCTGGAGTGGACTGCATTATTGTAAGCAATTTCTGCGAAAGGGAGTAGGTCCGTCCAATTTGTTTGCTGAAAATTAATAAAACATCTTAAATATTGCTCAAGTACTGAATGACAACGTTCTGTTTGTCCATCCCCTTGTGGATGATGGCTAGATGTCAGTCCCTGAGTGGTCCCTAAGAGGGATAAAAATTCCTTCCAAAATGCAGACGTAAATTGCACTCCCCTATCAGAGATGATGTGTTGGGGTGCCCTGTGCAATCTGTAAATGTGCTAGATGAAAAGTTTTGCTAAGGCTTTTGCGGTGGGAATCTTTTGGCAAGGGATAAAGTGCACCTGTTTGGAAAATAAGTCCGTGACCGTCCAGATAACAGTATTCCCATTGCTTTCTGGCAATTCCACTATAAAATCCATGGCTATTTCCCTCCAGGGGGCTGAGGGACTTGCCACTGGTTGTAATAGCCCTGGCGATTTCCCTTGCAACCTCTTTGCTGATGCACAGGTTGGGCAGCTGGCAACATAACTTTCTATGTCCTTTTTTATGGATGGCCACCATAATTGCCGTTTAATTAAGTGTAAAGTTTTTACAAATCCAAAATGCCCTGCTGATTTTGTGTCATGGCAAAGCTGCATGAAAGTGACTCTTTGGGCTGTTGGTATATATAACTTTTCCCCTACCCAAGGCAACCCGTCTCTCATTGTGCACCCATTTTTGTTTTTCTGGAACCATTCATCTGTTTCCAAACTTTTCTGGAATTCAATTCCAATTTGGCTGTCCAGTTGTGGTTTTAATTTAGTTTGGGTTCTTGTGGTTACTGGCGTTGCCAGTTGTAACCCCGCCATCATTGTTTTAGAGTCTGTGGCTCGCGCGCTGTTATATTGGGGCCATATATAACAATGATAAATGTTTGAGCTTAAATTGGAACTGGTGAAAATGCTAGGACCAGCGGGCTTGTTTGGGATTGAGTTTCCTGGGCGCTTTCAAGGCTTCCAAATTTTTGTGATCAGTCCACACCTGGAAGGGGATTTTGTTGCCTTCCAGGAACTGTCGCCACATGAGTAATGCCCAATGTATCCCATATGCCTCTTCTCCCATACGGGCCAGCGCTGTTCTGTTTCCGTGAGTTTCTTGGATGTATATGCACAGGGTTGCAATACTCCATCATTGTTTTCTTGTAATAGAACAGCCCCCACTGCCACATTACTTGCATCTGCCTGTATTACGAAGGGCTTAACCATGTCTGGGTGCCTTAGTACTGATTCGGCAGAAAAAAGTCTCTTTAGTCTCTCAAACGCTGCTTGGTTCTCCATTGCCCATGTTAGTGACTGGCTAGGTTTTACTGAGGATGCTCCCTTCATTTTTAGTAAGTTAGTGAGGGGCAAGGCTATCTGGGCAAATGAGGGGATGAATTGGCGGTAAAAGTTTGCAAAGCCCAGGAAACTTTGTAGTTGCTTTCTTGTGCGGGGTGGTGCCCAATCTACTACTGCTCTGACCTTCTCTAGGTCCATTTCAATGCTCTGGGGGGATATGCGATAACCTAGGTAGTCTATCCTTTCCTGATGGAATTCGCATTTTGAGAATTTGGCATATAGGTGGGCGGCTCTCAGTTTCTTTAAAACCGCTCTGACAAGGTTGACATGTTCCTCTTTTGATTCAGTGAAGATAAGAATGTCGTCCAAGTAAACAAGGACCCCCTTAAATAGATGCTCCCTTAGAATGTCATTGATTAATTGCATAAAGACTGCAGGGCCCCCTTGTAATCCAAATGGCAAGACTTTGAATTGATAGCACCCCATGGGGCAGTTAAATGCGGTCTTCCATTGGTCCCCTTCCTTAATTCTCACGCGATAGTAAGCTTCTCTTAGGTCTAGTTTAGAAAAAATTTTCCCTTTCAAGAGGTGTGACAGCATGTCTTTCATGAGGGGTAGAGGGTATAGGTTGCTTTCACTGATTGTATTCAGGGCCCTATAATCCACGCATAAGCGTAAAGAGCCGTCATTCTTCTCTCTAAAGAGGACTGGGGCAGCCACTTTAGGCTTGGCTGGCTCAATGAACCCTCTCTCTAGGTTTTTTTTTTAATGAATCTTTCTATTTCCTCCTTCTCCTTTGGGCTCATGGAGTATAATCTGGGCTTCGAGAGTTTTGCCCCAGGCTTGAATTCAATGGCACATTCTGTGTGTCAGTGTGTGTGGGGGGGGGAAAGCTCATCCGCCCTCTCCTCATTGAAAACTTCAGCAAAGTCTCTGTATTCCTCTGATATTTCTGTTAATCCCTTTTCCTCTCCCATGGATGCTTTTTCTATTCTTGATTCTGGTAGCCCCCCTTGGGATTTTAAGTCCATAGGGTCCCCCTTCAGGAATTTGATTTCTGTCATCCTCCAATTTACCCAGGGGTTCCATTTTTTTAACCATTCCATCCCTAGGATCATCGGGCATTCCATGCCTGGGGTCACCACAAACGTTATGTCCTCATGTTTGCCCAGGGAGAGGTGTATTGGTAAAGTGGCTAGGGTAGCTGGCACCCCCCCCCGCCCGCTATGGATCCATCTAACTGGCCAAATGAGATTGGTTGTTCCAGTCTCTTTGACGGAATGCCCAGATTCCCCACTAGTGTTGGGCTAATGAGGCAGCGGGTGCAGCCAGAGTCTATTAAGTCTTTCACCTTCACCTTCGGGCATGGGGGGAATTAATATAGTCACTGTCTTGAGGATGGGTGCAATGCGTCCACTTACCAGGGGTTCGCCCTCCGAGCTGTCATCTGAGGCATCCACCGGCCCTGCGGTGTAGGCTGGAGTTCCTTCCCCCTGATGAGCAGAGGTGGGGGGGTTCCCCAATTTCCATCATTCTCATGGCAGTTTCTTTTGGCTTAGCTGAAGACTTTCTGGATTTGCTGATTGGGGATCTGTCTGGGTTGTGCTGGGGGGCTTTGGAGCAGCATTCTACAGCTTGATGCCCTTCTCTTCCGCACTTGAAACAACCCATTTTCTTCTTGGCTGTAGCCAATGGTTTCACTGGTTCGTGTGTCAACTCAGGCGGG